TGATTTTTTTTTTTTCCGAGGTGCCTTTATCGCTTGGTTGAAGTCATGGTGTAAAATAGGCTTTTAATGCAGTGGGTTTCAGCTCATGTAACCGTTCTTGTTCTTTTAATTTTGTGTTTCTTACGGAGCAAATCCAACGCCTTGCCCGTTTTCGAGCGGTCAAAGGCGGTGATGACCCCCTCATCTACCACCCCTCTCCCCCCCCAAAACTTACGTACCCTCTTCAGCAGATGAAATGTCAGGTCGTGGTAAATTAAAACACATTTAACGGCGGGGTTCAGCCGTATCGAAAGGACGATTGCCCTTCTGAGAAGCACTTTAAAGGGGGAAGGAATTAATGAACCGTTGGCAAGCACTTCCACACGCTGGCAGGACAAAAACGGGGCCGTGGCGGCGTTAACGAACCCGTTGGGAAAAAACAAAAACCGAGTGGCGTTAATTCTGGTTTGAATCCTGGATGGCGAAGGGGACTTAGGACCTGCGGATGCTCTTGAAGGAGATAACGGTGGTGGTTTTTTTTGTTGTCTTGTGGTTTTTTTGGTGGTGGTTTGATGTTTTGGTTTTATTTTTTGAGACTTTACCGACGACCGGGGCGCGAAAGCCGCCTCGGAGAGGTTGTTGTTGGGCCATCGGCCGCCGTGCGGACTGGATGTTTGAAACCCGAAAACCCGACGGAAAACCCAAAGGCTCCTCTCGTAGCAATGACTCGTCCCGAGCTCTCCAAAACTTCGCCGCTGGGGGAAATAAGAAAACCCACTTCCTGAGCTCGTCGTGTCCCCCTTACCCTGTGCCTTTTAACCCGCTCGACTGAGGCTGTTGGAGTTTGGGCTGCGTTTCGGACTTGGTTTTGACTCTGGTTTTGGTTTTGTGCACCCCGCGAATCCGAATTGAGGCTGTCCACACATCCCGAGAGAGAAGGGGAATCCTCGCCGCACCCGTTTGGATTACAATGCCACGTTTGGGACGTTCTCTACCCCCCCGTAGTTAAAGCACAGACTCTTGGTGGTGGTCGACCCCGTAACTCCACGACCGCCGAAGTTGGTTCG